TAAGCCTAGTAGTTACCTATAGGAGTTTAAGCCCTACCTAGATAGGTAAGTGGGTCTAGGAGAGTGACCGGATTGAATTGATTGTTGCGGAGTCTACCGTTGATAGGTTAGGCCTGTTGTCTGCTTCTGTCCAACCGAGGAAGAGTTCCAAACACTAGGGCTTACTCTCTGTATACAGGAATGATCGTGCATGTCAAGGCCCTGATCCATTCCCATGTAGTTGTGGTATGGACCAGGTTACAATCACGGCCACGCTCAATTAGGAATCATTGAGGGCCATGATTAGATTGTTGACCCCTCTACTGATTGCAATTATCCAGTCGAGCAGGAAGCTTTTGCGAAAGGATACTGTCTTTGTACAAACTTGGTTGTGCATTTTATCAACATGTGTGCAGAGCTGCAGGCTTCATAGGCTTAAGCAAGTTTTTCCAGCCTGCTGGGATAGACCGGTGGCCCTTAGTTGCAACGGCAATCACATTCCCAATGAAAATCATGCCTCTATAATCAATGAGACTATATTCGCAATATGTCTGATCGATTGAGTGCACAGATGTCAATGAGCAAGCTGAGCGAGCTCAGCCAATTGGCTTGCTCAGCCAATTGAGCGGAGGCCAGCAGCTCGCTCGGCTCGCTCGGATTGGCTGAAACAGGGCTGTCAGCTCGCTCGGCTTGATGGGCTCAGTCCCGATTAGGAAAGTTATATAGAAACCTTGGTGTTGAGTTTCTCAGCTAATATCCCACTTATGTACACCGTATTTCGCGTCCATCTCCTCATCGCTGATAGCCTCCTTTACAGGCACCTCACCACTGCCAAATCCAGCTCTTATCCATCGTCGATCGCACTGTATTGCTGCTAGAAGTTGCGGAGAAATGCTGCGCCGACGGGGCTCGAGGAGGTCACCCAGCTCGCTGAATAAGCGCTCACACTCACAGCTTGAGCCTGGGATTGATAGCATGTCGATAGCAAATTTGCTAAGGCTAGGGTGGCGATCGCGGAGTTCTACCCAGTATTTTATAGGGTCGACGCCCTCGCCAGCGATCGGTTCGCTGCGTTTCCAAGCCTCATATTCATCTTCCTCGTTCTCCGTAAGCCCTGCAGGCTCAATAAAGTTGTTGATAAAGTTGCCGCGATTTCTGGAGCATTAACGCGTGTTCTTTTTGCTGGCATTATAGCAACGGCGAGGTAGATAGTAGCTGCAAATAGAGACGCGTTGATGGAGTATAGATGAGTGTGGTGGGTGATAAGTAGTAAGTGAAGTGTCGCAAAAGGAGAATATTGTTGCCAGGCGGTTAGCCGGAAATTTAGTAGCTTATTTGCTAGAAATATAGCAAAAAAGAGTGTATTTTATGTTATAACTAGGTTTCGAACTTACGCACTACACCTAAAAATCATCGTGAGATTGCCCCTCCACCAAGTCCTTCAGCCCCAAGTTTCCAACCGCCCCATCCAACCAAGCTAAGCAAGCTGACTGAGCGAGCGCCTATCCCTAACCCAGGGCGCTCAATGGTACGTTATAATATACCATTTTTTTGTTAGTGCTGAGAAGTACGCGTATGGCGGGTATATACTAGAACCAGGGGTTTATCCCATTAAACTTCAGGAGTACATCCCATTTTTAGTCTATAGTCGAAATTACTCCAAATTTAGACATATAACTCAGCATACGTAGACGCACAATCTGACGAATTTACAGCGCAGCAGACTATGTGGTTCAGGAGCTTAGGGTTTGGTGTTCTTGGTTAGGGTTACGCGTCTGGGGGGTCAGGAGGTCGCGAGGCTCGGCACCCCGCCGCGCGCGCGCCGCCGGAGTAAGCACCGAGAGAGCGATCAACAGCGCGTGTATATAAGAAGCCGAGTAGAACAGGTAGGCGTCGATATTTCAACATGTCTAAACCTAGCATCGAGTGCCAGTATTTCGAGCATGTGCCTGAGCACAGCGTAGCGGCATGCAGAGAGTGCAGATATGCAGTATGGCCAGATCAGATTGAGGGCCATCTACAGAAGCAGCATAAGGTTAGTTACAAGGAGGCTGAGGCAGTTGGACAGCAGGTTCGCAGCTGGGCTGGGTTAGTCCAGTACCCTAGTGAGCTCGAGGTGCCGACTGGTGCTCCAAAGCCTGTGCGGCAATTGCCAGTGTATACAGACGGGATGTTATGCCAATTTGACTCCAGCTGCTGCTATTATGTAGCAAGAAGTAAGGAGGCTATACGAAAGCATTGGCGTAAGGACCATCAAGGATGGTCAGCAGGGAAGAAGCGAGGGCGGCCAAGTCGAACCAGGCAGAAGAGCGTGCAGGCACATATGGATAAGGGGTACCGGCTGGTCCATTGCCAGCGATTATTCAGCAGCCGGCATGGATCGCAGTACTTTGAGGTCCAGGCACCCAGCCAGGATGGAGAAGGCCCCGAAATCGTGCCCGTAGACGGGGCAGCAGCATGGGCGCGAGTGGGCGAGCAGATGGCCAAGGCGTGGGCAGACATCGAGAAGCGGGCGCAGACGACGATCCAGGAGGGCGAGCGCGACGAGGTGAACCCATGGCTGGAGCGGACGCAGTGGTTGCCGTACCTAGTGGGCATGGAGAGGCCGGATTTGTTAGCGTGCATCGAGGAGCCCGTGGCAGAGCCAGATGCCAGGCAGGAGCAGCAGGCCGAGCCGGTGGAAGCAGCGATTTGGGCAGCCATGGATGGATTGGCGCGGTTCAGCCAGGCATCCATTATTGACCGGATTGGCGTGTTTATACGGTTGGAGGCAATTCGCACAGAGATGCACCAAACCCGGTTCCAGCCGTTACAGCCGTATATGGACAAGAACGCCATTGTCAAGCACACACGACCGTGGCAGCAGATGTTAATGTTTTTTGCACGCACACCACAGTCCGCAACAATCAATTAAGTGGGTCCTAGAAG